GGGCCGAGCCGCGGGAGGAGGAGGACGTGGCCACTCTTGTGCCGCAGGGATCCCTCCCGACAGGTGCGGGTGCTGTGGGACATCCTCCCGCCCGGACGGGGAGAACAGAGCGGCCACGGAACGAGGCAGTGAGGTCGATGATTTGGTTCGGCTTGGAGGCCTGTGTAGCCTGTATTGCTCCGAGCCGAGCTGTAAAGCAAGGGTAGTCAGTTCTGTCTTTCTGCTAAAGTTAATGGGAGAAAGACAGGTGAGAGGAAAGAGTTATGGGGACAGTGGTGGGTAAAAGGGCTTGACTTTGCGAAGGAGGTGTGTGTGTGTTCATTTCCTGCCCGTGAGGAACCTGTTTAGACACAGGAATGCATTGCCCGTTGGAGTGGGGTCACCAAACCTGCAGGTGTTCAGTGCCGCTGGACATGGCCTAATTGACAAGGTCATATTTGAAGACATCTAAGACGTAAAATCACATTTCACAGCATGAGTGAGGTTGGAAAAGACCTCTGAGATCATCAAGTCCAACCTAGACCTGTGCTGACTTTTATCCTGGGGAGCTTAACATCTATGTATGATAGTCTTTTATTGAGTATTTTGACACTGACTATAGCCATTTTGTTTGTAAGTGTCAATTTCACAGACTACAGTGTAGATGTAAGAGAGCTGACTAATCCAGTTTTACTAAGAATAGTGACAGGCCCTCTGGAAATCATGAATCAGAAAGTATGAACTGTGATAGAAGGGAGGCCTCTGAATAAAAATATCTCTACTGGGGTATTTTATTCAAATACTTGACCAAAAGTGCCTTTTAGCAGAATTAATTTTGAGCTTACATGGAGAGCATTTGAAGTAAAAGGCACCAAAGTCTCAAATTCTGTGCAGGTTAGTGCATTGTGTATTTCAGCTTAATGTGTTTAAGACTGCTTGTGATAAAAATAACACAATATAAAGGCTTGCTTTAGAGTTAGGTACTCTGGCTTTCATCCAAGTAAGATGACAAGACTGACTTAGGGTCCATATACAACTGTTTTTGTCCAAAAAGCATGTATTGAACCTTATGTGTTAGCCTGCTACAAATATGAAAGTGGACTCTAAAGTTATGGTAATTTTTATACGTTCTTTGAAGTGAGGCAGTCAGAATATTGAAATCAGCTTTGCCTGATGACTTGCCTCATTTTTGCAATGTGCATTTTCCCCTAATGTATATATATAATGTCTGCATGTGGCACCATTTAGTGTCATGATCTATTGCAGACATATAGATGACATATGAGACTTTGTGTTGATAAGTAAGTTCTTTTATTTGTGTATGCAGTGCAGAGTCTTTGATACTTCTTATCTGAAGAAAAAAAAAAAGCCTGTAGAGGAACACTGGAGACTTCCTGATGTGTGGAAAAAAAAAAACATTGTCAGGTGTTGCGCTATTATAAATCTTGAGATGTCATGTTGGTGTAGGTGGAAGTATTTTTCTTCTGCTAACTGCTGAGGAAGTGGACTAGAGAAGAATCTCTGGGGACAGTAGAAGCATATTAGGGTGAGGCATATAACTGTGGGAGATCATTGCAGTGCTTTATGCAATTCCTAGCAGTGCCAGCATTTGTTCTTACAGTAGTGATGCCACCATAGTATTGGTATATTGGTAATTGTTTCTTTCCAAAGCTAGTCTAAAGTTTTAAATGTATCTGAAGTGCTTTTTAGGTAAAATATAAGATCTTTACTAATTGTTAATAGGCCTTTTTTTCTTGTGTTTTAGCCTGAAAACTGGATTCTTAAAGTGGAAACCAGACTATGACAGTGCAGCTACTGAATATGGGAAGGCAGGTAGGTATGTGTGGCTGCAGCTATGGCCATGTATTTTATTGTTGCAAAGTATTCATTAAGCTTAATCCCTGATAATGTTTTACATATTTGCAGTACATTGGTGTGTAAGTAAAACTGTTGTGAAGACTAAAAGTAAGATGGAACAAAGTGCTTAGTAGCACTGTAAAATAAATTTGAGATCTATAACAGTTGTCAAAAACAATTTTTTTGTCAAGCTTACAAATTCTACTTTTTATATTACTACGTGTGATAAAAATAGAGCTTTCCTTCTTTTACTTGTCCACCCCCAAGTCCTATGACTTAGTCTACAAAATACTAAACGTTCAAGTGGGTTTTAAAATTTCGCTTTCTCATCATCTTATGAAAGATGACCTGACAAAGACTGTCTCAGTAAAGTAGAGAGATGCTGCCAGGTTGGCTTTTTTTTCAGGCATGGTAAGGTCTCTCCCTCTTTCCTCCCTTTTTTCTACTGCAAGTGACACACACAATATACAATTCATACTCGTTGATTTCTTTTTGTTCTTAAACATTTTCTTCTTTCCAATCATAATAATTTATCATGGTCTTTTGACATCTTAGTCTACGCATTCATACTTATTCACTTGAGCCTTTATAAAAAATACAAACATGGAAGAACAACTGGAGCATTTATAAACGGAAATTTATTTTAAAACCTACTTTTATATTTTATCAGTTAAATGGAGATAGAAATACATATTTGTGCCCTAAAGTGGTTGTGCTGAGGAAGTTGTTATAGGTATGCTTTGTTGATGGTACCCTTGTATTCCTACTGTACTGATTTTGTATAGCCTCTGGTGATTAAACCTATATACATATG